TTTCGTTTAGTTTTCTCCGTACTGTAGTCCATTCTTCACCCCTCAAGACAGCCACACTGGGACTATTTAGAACGATGAGGATTTTATCCGGGCTTTAGGTTTCCACTAGCGATGCATGATTACCAATGTCAATATCAAGTGGCACTTCACTCATCGTTAGTTTTGACGGAGATTTCACTTTTTGTCAACCACAGTCGGGTGTTTGACTCATTCCGTAACAGCACGTACTACACTGACACATTCTTCACTGTCAGTACTCGTAATACCAGAGCAACCACCATCGTTCTTCTTACGGGCCAAAGCTGATAGGCTCATAGCCTCCTGAATTAGTAACGTCTTATTTGCACAACAAAATATACAAAGCCAATGAGAGTTAGGTTCCGAGCAACTTTTGTTTGAGGTGGGAATTTAACGGGTGAACATCTTATGGTACCACATTTTACACTCATTGCACTACATTCCTTCCTCCACAGTGAACAAACAGTTTGGTTGTCCACATTTGTGAGTACTACCAAGCAATTTAGTCAGATTAAGGTGTAAAACACAATATGATCACAGTATGAACACAAGTGTCAGTCAGTGAGTAAAAACGTACCACAAGACAAACTCAAGCAAGATTTCAAACCTTATCTAAAGTACTTTGATATAGACTAAGAATGCTTTTGATGTAACAATCACACAAAAGCAGGGTAATCACAACAAGCACAAAATCTGTGTGACTGGCTTATATAAAACGGTTGATTTCTGTGAAATTACCTCTTGCCGGTTATGCGCAAATTCAAACTTTTTGAATGTTTCGAGTGCGGTAAACCAGTTACTCGACTGTTTTAATTCTTGTCGGTTTTGGTTGCATGTCTTGTAAACGAGGTGAGTTCACTTATCTCAGGTCAATACGGTTTCTGAGTACCAGCATCTATCACATTACCAAGCAGAAGCCTAGTTTGCAGCGATGTGAAAACTAATAAATAGAAAATTCGAGTGCTTATAGACGGCAATTGTGTTTTAGTGTGGAGTCGAGTCGCAATTGACTATGAACACCGCTGCAAGAAGAACGCGTACCAGAAAACCAGAAGGTGAATGAAGGTTGTAACAAGACTTATTCGTTGGCGATCTTGCGGTATCGAAAGTATACCGAGATCGTGCCAAAGGAAATACAAGCGGAGTCAATGGGCGAAATTGCGAGCGTACGAGGCCATGGTCAACGGAAGAATAATGGACGTCTTTAGTACAGTTAAACAAACAAGCACAACAAAACAATCGTAAATTACAAATAATTGCACAGAAACTCGTCTTAATAATAAATCTAACGATTACGAAGCCAACCTTTATTTGTTTACATTTTCGGAGCAAAATCTTCCAAATATCAAAACAATCACGGAGTGAAACCAAAATTTACGAAGTCGGAAATGTAAACAAACAGGTTTGGAAGTTGAGTAATATAAATATATGCAAGAACGGTGAAATTATTATCCAACACAACGGCTTTCAATCGGCCAAATGTCTTAAATTTCTCCTGTAAAATGCCTGTTTATTGCTTGGCTTATTCATTGTCTATCTAAATAACACTGAAACCAATTTTAGGTATCGTACTTGGAGTTGATGTTTTAGAAATTCATTTTACGCTCACAGTTTGTCTGTGAATTTTAATGTATTGGATACGTGCCTGGCCTACTAATACCACTGCTATACAAATGGGAATAGTCATATTACTACATACGTTAGGTGGGATCTGTATTTAACTGGAGATAAAACATGGGCCACAGACTCGGTTTGCTTATCCTCTTTCGAATGAGTCTATGTGGAGAGCAGTTGTAACTAGGCGAGACAGAGCCACAGTTATTGACGAATAAGTACTATAGCTCTTAATCAAGTAACAAGTACCTAGTTCTTGGCCTGTATTATTTTTTTCACATCACTTGAATTCACCTTTTCCACAAGCCAAGAAAAACGAAGAATAATCAGTAATCTGAAAGTCACCACGAAGTTATCATGAGTACCTGTGTTCGCTTAAAGAGATGATTCCAGTCGCTTCACTGTTGTTTTGTAAGAAAGATTACAAAGACATTACATTATCCAAGTGTTCATAGATATCGCCAACCATATGATTTCTCCGCACACAAATCTCGGTGTTAAGAAACTGCTTTGGGTCCGCTGTGACGTCCAATAAAGGCAGTTCATCAGTTCATCCCCACTATTCCTGCTGATACTGAGAACTTTTTGGAACCCAGTATTTATTGATTTGAAATTGACAGTTTCGTCTCGGAGCAACGCTCTCACTGAAACAAGCAGCTATCATGTTGCCAGGAAGGACCACTGACAATAAGGTCGTGTTTGACTAAACTCAGGGTCACGGCGTGTTTCAGTGTATGACTGTTAACCTCTGACAGTCTGCTTGAAAAAGTTACCGGAATGCTCGCAGATAGATCTCTGATTCCACTGTGTTAAGAATATATTTATGGATTATCAGGTATCTAACCCTTGCTTAATAACTGTTCGTTCTGTCGTCTGGTATGTTAGTTTGTGTTAGAGAAAGCTTTGAATATATAACACGGGCTATACTGTTTGAGGTACTTTGTACTTTTTGATATAATTTGTTCTTTTCTAAATTAGAACCGTTTAAATTGAACGCAGGGTTTGTGTTTTGATATAATTTAATACGAGTGTCTCAAAAACGCTTTGTAAGCTATACAGACGAACGTAGTCTGGCCTATTCGAATAAATTTTGGTTCGTCAGTCCTGAGTTCAAACCGAATAGTGGCGATTCGGTCGTTACAGCTTAGTTGTATGTTTTCATTGACTTCACATTTTCAATAATCTTACTTGAGTAATTTTATAAGATTGTGCCCTTATATGACTTCTAGCTAGAATTAGGTACTTGAAGCAATAGTTAGGAGATTGGAATTTTCATTCACCAACTGGCATCAACTGTAGTGTATATTGCTTTGCTGTCTTGTGTTTCGTTAACTGTAAACGATTTACTTAAAATTCAACCTCTAAAACTTTAAAAATACATTATTCTTGCTAAATATCCCACACTAAATCGGCGTTCAAATACTGTGGACTAACGTTCTTATATGTAGACTGTATGGTAATAATTATTGCAAGTAAACCAAAATAGATAGAAGATATGTGTCAGTACAGTCAAAAACAGTAGATAAAAAGAAAGAACACAGTATTAATAATTTAAAGAAATACACACGAAAATATTTCCAAACATATTGTGTAGAGAACTGCCAAAATGGATTCTATGATACCATCGTTTCTACTTGATGATGCCAAAATCTAATTTTAGGCGACTATTTCGCGTGTTTTAGGCATGATTTAACAGTAATTTTACATCTTGCTACGTACAATATTCTATTTTATGCAGTAACGTAAAAGTTGCGTTCCCGATTATGATTGTCGGGTCACTCATGAATACTTTTCCTCGTCGGTACCAATTATTATTACTACACGTAACTTGTTTGTTCGCTACAATAAGTAGCGAGAAAATTTGAATGTGTCAACGCCAAGTGATAAGTATAAATAACTAATGGGCAAAGTCTGATGAAATCGACTTCAGAATCGATGCAGCATAAGTAAACACTGGCCCTTCCTTTGAATCATAGTTCAAAAGGTTCCATCACTAACAATCAGAACAAATTTTGGTCAAAGGTATTGTGTTCTACTTTATATAGATATCCTATCATGCGTAGTTTATTATTGTGATACGATATTATTCCTTCTAATTCAAGCCATTGTTGAAAATCTCCAAGAATATGTGAATAAAACAATATTAAAGGATTCATAAGCACTGTTCAACCCATTTATTATCTTTATTTTTAGACTGAGAATTTACCGGATATTGGACGTTGAAGAATGAAAGGCGCGCTCTACGGTTTTCAAGGTGAAGTTTGAACAAAAGCCTTTTTTGTTAAGTCTAGCGTTTAGTAAATTGTCTGTACATAGCAATAGATGTGTTTTAGATTCATCAGTTGACGTACGCAACTGCTGTCCGTACATCTGTAGCAGATGCAGATAACTCACATCGAATATTTTTAGTGGAGAAGCCGTCGCTGATCTATAACGTCCTTTTGACGTTAGTTAAATAGGATTTATTATAGACTTTTACAGCATGTATTTCTAGAAAGTTTATGAGATTAAGTGAATGGCCGCACATCATAAGATAGGTATTTGACTTAAGGTATTAGTCATTGCCATGTCGGAATTTCCAAACGGTATTGCTAACGTCAAGTTGACTGCTTAAATATCTTATGGTCAACAGATTTTACAGTCTACCGGCTTTGAAAAAGCTGGTTATTCATAATTTTTCTGTGGCCTCTTAACTACCTAAAATTACGCTACAGACGGCTTTCTGCACTAAAGATGGTGGTTGCATTACATTGGAAAAATTTATGAACAAAGGAATTTCCAATAAAATATCTCATGTCATAGAGTGCAATGCTTATATTCCTCAAAATTGACTGCAATTTATAGCTTTTCACTTATCATCCTTTAAAGATAATAGTGTTCTAATTATTCTAAATTAAAGCTTCAGATAATCGAGTAAGGAATTATCAAACGTTTCATCATGGTTCTCTCGTTGTTTGGTCCGTTATTCAGTACAGTCAAACGTGAAATACATACTTCCCTGTGTGCCTTCGTATATAAAATCATTTTTAAATAACTTTTGTAGTTGTTTCTTCTTATCTTGTCTGCAAAATTCACGTGAATCTTGGTACAAAGGGGCACCGAAAACACATGCGCCACACCAGTCACTTGATTAGTGTGTGGGCTCTTTTATATGTGAGGCTTTACTTCGTTGTGTCTGCTTGTGTCATATTCTAGTTTAGATTTGGTAACCACAATTATCATTACCCGGTAGGAAAATCACTAAAAAATGTAAGCAAGCTGTCAACTGGATTAATTTGTTTTTAAGCATCTTGTTTACGTAACTTATTATTGGATGCATAATTTAATACTTGTTTTTATAGACTTGAAACACATACTTTACCCATCTAATGAGTAGTGAAGTAAGTACTGGTGATGGATTTATCACACCCTGCTAGGTCCCCAATTACTTCTTAAAATTCACTCTAACTGGTCATACAAAAGCGGTCTCATCAGTAAAATTTAGTGAAAATGGTCAGTGGTTGGCCAGTTCATGTAAGCACTCGACTATTAGTTACATTCCCCCTTTGAAACAATACAGCAGCTGACAAATTAATCAAAGTATGGAATGCTTATGACGGGAAATTTGAAAAATCTATCAGCGGTCATAAACTGGTAGTTTTTACTTTAATAATTTTTATTTGCTATGCATATATAATATGTTAAAGGGAATCTCAGATGTTTCATGGTCTTACGACTCAAGATTTCTGTGTAGTTCCTCCGATGACAAAACTTTAAAACTGTGGGATCTCGTCTCTGGCAAGTGCCTGAAAACTCTTAAAGGTCACAGCAACTATGTTTTTTGCTGCAATTTTAATCCACAGTCAAACCTGATAGTTTCCGGCTCGGTATGCCTTTTTTGTTTTCTAACTGTTACTGGTATAGTTTGATGAAAGTGTCAAGTTATGGGATGTGAAAACAGGCCGGTGTATCCGCACGCTTCCTGCCCACTCCGATCCTGTTACAGCTGTATGTCATTATGTATATATAATTTTCTTAAAAACCTGCTTAGGTTAATTTCAATCGTGATGGTTCACTTATTGCTTCCAGCAGTTATGATGGACTATGGTATGTGGTTTAAATTGTATTTCTTGAACAATTAATCTAAATTTTAGTCGAATCTGGATACCGGTTCTGGTCAGTGTTTAAAAACATTAATAGGTAACTTGACTTGTGCATGCACATATACTGCTCAATTGATTGATTTTCAGATGATGATAACCCTCCTGTTTCATTTGTTAAATTCTCGCCTAATGGCAAATATATTCTAGCTGCTACACTCGATAGGTATTCAAGTTACTAAACATGACTAAATCCTAATGAATTTTCCAAACATAGTTGTCTCAAATTATGGGATTACACTAAGGGTAGATGCTTGAAAATTTATGGAGGGCACAAAAATGAGAAGTATTGTATATTTGCAAATTTTTCAGTTACCGGAGGCAAAGTATGTTTAATAATTTATTTGATGATTGTTTTTGATTAGTGGATTGTCTCGGGGTCTGAAGACAACTGTATTTATTTATGGAATTTGCAAACAAAGGAAATAGTACAAAAACTTTCTGGTCATAATGGTTTGTTTTTACATTTTATTCTAAACTTTTTAATTCCTTTATAGATGTTGTTTTGTGTACTGCTTGTCATCCTCAAATGAACATGATTGCTTCAGGATCGTTAGAGGGCGATAAAACAATTAAAATTTGGACTAGTGATAAGTGATTGCTTCTGGCTTATTGTACTTCTGGATCCTTGTATACTATTATCTCCAATGCTCTTTGACTGTATATGTTGTATCATCTGTTTTTCATATCACAGGTTATTCATATGAACCACAAGTTTATCGATTCATCCTACGTAAATTATTCATTATTGACATTTTTTGTTGCAAAAAGGAACAATCTATGTCTTATTGTAAATTATCCGACTAAGATTGTTCGTTTGAGTGTTTCTTTATCGATCCTTGTGAAGTGAACTTATTATGAATCCACGCCTTATTAGTAAAATACAGATACGGTTAATAATTAATGAATGGTAGATTGATGTAGTCAATTAAAAAAACTGCTCACAAAATCACATTTGAAATCTTAACTGATTAGTCTACTAGGAGGGAAACTAAACTATTATCAATGTAAAATATACTTTTTGATCCTTGAGTGCATGAAAGAATGAATTGGCTGTCTAAAAAATCTCACTGATAAATTTCTTAAAGCACAATATTGTGGCGACTTTTTAATCACTGAACATATCCCAGAAACCTGTGTGACATAAGTAGATTGTATAATCTGAAATAATGGATTCTTCAGAGAACTAAGGTGATTGGAAATCTGGACTAAAAAACGACGACCTACACCATTTTTGTTGAGTGAATAGATAAGCGTAAACATTGCAAGGTTTTCTTCGGCGTTAGGATATAACAGCCTAGTTGTGGAATTGTCGTTATTGGCGTGAAACAAAACACAATTGTAGCACCATATTCGGTTACAGCGACTAACGTTAACACACTTTAAATTTCGGGATGAAGGTATCATAAGTATCTGGAGGCGTCAGTTACCAAGATTTTTGAATATTCTTGTTTATATATTTTAAGTGGATTTTCAGGTGGGTGTATTTGATATCCAGTGATTCTGACTGAAAAATAAACTTTGTCAGTCCATATTTCAGCCAAAGCACACTTTATATAGAAAGTAATTACCTACAAACGCAATTCTAAGCTAATCCCCTGGTTGTCGAGCATAGTGTTAGCTTGGCCAAAGTTAGAATAGGTAAGCTATTTGGCTTAGTTAACTTTCCATTTTAAGACGCAAATTAACACGGTTAGTATACGAAAAACAAATTAATAGACTATTAAACAGAAAAAGAGTGACATAAGTAACATACTGAATAGTAATCAGAAGAGAGGGGAAGTGAGTCAAGAAAACCTACTATCCATTTGTATTGGTTGTTTGAATCTTCCCACTGAATTTAAGGACTGCGATTGATCAGTCTCTGCTTGGCATATGTGCGGATTGTCTTTAGTTACAAGCATTATAAGCAGAAGTGGCTAACCGTGGAGTACAAGAAGTGAGTCACGAATGGAACAAAACCTCACCTCATTGCACAAGCTAGTGGGTATCTGGACTCAGTATCTAAGTGGATAACGCAAAGGCGTCTGAAAATGGCACTGGGTTCGAGTCTCTTAGTGGACGTTAACTCTGGGATGGAGAAACATCCAGCTGGCGAGTCCTAAACAGGACGAAGCGCGCGTCCTGGATCCCTTTGCTAAAAATTAATATCATTTATGGCAAACGAGAGGTTGTAATTAGTGAGCAAACAAGACAGGTCGCCAAATGCCCTGGTACAGCTGAGGGTAGGGAGAGTCAGCTCTCCCTCTCGAAACGATCTCACATGTCCACCCGTACACAACCACTTTCAGAGAAATCCTACTCACTGCTTCCTCGTGACATTACTGTTGTTTAGTACTTTGACAGGACGAAAAGCGAATGTCCGGCCCTTTAACCGGGTTGGTGGACACGGAGAGTCCACCTAGGGGAGTTTGAAAACTCTGATTTCAAACCAATGGTGCACATGGGCTCTAGTATCCTGAAGGGACAAGTAGAGTATGAACCTATTGTTGGTCACCGGCCACCATGGGACTGCATCTCTTATCGTCGTTCCACTGCCTTGTGGATTAGACCTTTAGATCGAAGGCTCCGGGTGTGGTCCCTAAGAAAATCACCTGCTTCGGTTTGGGCATCCGGGCAGTATCATGGATCATACACAAATCAAGTGACCTGTGTGGCGCATATATATTCGGTGCCCCTTTGTACCAATATTTATGTGTTCAAATAAATAAATATACAAAGAAAGTCAAGGTGGTGGTGGGCTTTTGACACTGACATTGGTGGGTTCGTGTATCGATCATGCCTTACACTTAGTTTGGAATTAATATGTTCACTATTGAAAAGCAACAGAAAATCATTTTCCTAGGGAAATGACAGGTATCCGAAGATAACTAACAATCCTACTAAATTAGGTTACAGTGTGAGGGTTCACCATAATGTTTATGAAAATAAACAATTTGAGACTTCAAGATTGTCAGTGGGTTCTATCTTGAGTCAGCGAGCAGTACAACCGTCATAGCTCTATTCTGTTTGTGACGAATTATAGGACATTAAACCTATGAAGATTATTTTGCAATTTACGAAACCATATAATAATTTGACTTCTTCCGGTCATTTTCCGTGTTGTTTGAGCGTCAAAAGACCGAAGATAATGTTCCAAAATGTAACACTCAGTGAGTTATCTCCAGAGTCCACGCTCTTGGGCCTCACTACACTGTTTGTTCAGAATGAATACAATTCTTGAGACAATCTTTAGAATTCTAGATTTCACAAAAACCAAGTAGAACTGCACCCACTAAAACGTCTCATAAGCGACAAGAATCAGCATACATCACATGGACTGATATCCCTTGACAGCATCATTCATTTAACTACCCAAATACACGGCTCTTCTATTATTCCCGTCAGCTAATCACAAAGGATATAAGCACACACAAGTCTCAGATAATAAGACGCCATCGGTTTGCTGCGTGTCTTTATGGAATTTGCTTAGCCTTCCGACTAGGATATTGCAATCATACTAAAAAGTATCGGAATTCCTTCTAAATGTTTATTACGCCATCTGTTTTGATATCTACGACCAAGAAAAAACAGGATATCCTGGCCAAAGTAGCTAAATTAGACCCATTTCTAAAGTGCTGTACTTAGCACAGCACATTCTTAAAATCCGACGACATATTCCTCTAGAGTAGTAAGTTGTAAAACACCAAAGAAATGTATAAATAACAGTCCAGTTATAAGGTCAGTCAGTCAGCTACAACGTAGGACAGGCACATATATGCATTGGTCCAAGTTGCCATACTTCATTAACATAACAAGATGGACACCGGATTCATAAAAGCAGTTAATTCAGAGGTGGTAATATATAGAAGAAAGACTGCATATAAGGATATAGTACAAGAAGGAAGATATGAAGCGATTTTAATCTCTTAGTTTAAGGGAAGACAGAGAGTGCATACACCGACGCCATTGTGATCGATTCTGAGCCATGTCACCAAGAGTCTCAAACCATTGGTTACGAAAGTCACGCGGACCCCAACCAAGTAGTCTGCATCTACCAACATGGTTCAGACTAGAAGTTAGTGTCTTCAAGCACTGATGCCACGTTTTGGTTTGGCCGCCCCTAACTTTCTTCCAACCATCCCCAACACCGGTTAGCATTGCACGTCGTGGTAATCGGTGTTCAGGCATACGTAACACGTGGCCCAACCATCTCAGTCGATGGAGATTCACAACATCAACTGATTTACCATCATTTCCTAATACCCTGCGTCTAACCTCACTATTACTTACCCGGTGATCCCAGCAGACGCCAGCAATATTTCTAAGGCATCTGTGGTCAAATACTAATAGCTTACGAGTGTCTTCGACTCTTAATGGCCATGTTTCGCTGCCGTAAATTAAAACAGAACGGACTGCCGCGCAGTATACTCGTCCTTTTATTGATAGACGGATATCTCGCCTTCGCCAAGGTGACGTAAGTTGGCAAAAGCCAAGCGAGCTTTTCGAATCCGTGCTGAGATTTCGTCCGATACCAACCCATTAGGGCTGATCAGACTTCCAAGATAAGTGAAGTTGTCAACGCGTTCGACTACTTCACTCCCTATCCTTAGTTCAGGTGTTGACGCAGACCAGTCCTGAAGCAACAACTTGCATTTCGAGGGAGAGAAGCGCATTCCAAACATTCTGGCATTGTTGCTTAGTGCTACCAAAAGACTCTGCATTTTGTCAGCGTCTTCACCAAACAGGACTATGTCATCTGCGTATTCTAAGTCGATAAGTGGACCTCCTGGAAGGAGATCAATACCCGAGAACTCAGTCGACGAGAAAGTTATTTCCATCAGTAGATCTATGATGAAGTTAAACAAAAATGGGGAAAGTGGACAGCCTTGACGGACACCACTTGAGGTTGCAAAAGCAGATGACAGTTCGCCATAAGTTCTGACTCGACTAGTAGTGTTCGAGTAAAGAGCCTTCACAAGGTGTGTGTGCTTCTGAAGTACACCACTCAATGACAGACACTGCCACAGAATCTCGCGGTCTACGGAGTCAAATGCTGCTTTTAAGTCAAGAAAGCCTACCTTTGGCGGACTTTGATAAGTATGCCTGTGTTCTAGAACCTGACGAATGGTGAATATGTTGTCGATGCAGCCACGACCAGGTCTAAAGCCAGCTTGGTTCTCTCGTGTTTGCAGTTCACGAGTCTTAGTTAGGCATCTGATAATTATCGAGGCTAGTATTTTAGATACTATATTAGGTAAACTAATTCCTGTATGGTTGTCACAGTATGCTTTTAACCCTTTCTTGTATATTGGGACGATAAGTGATTGTGACCAGTTAGATGGGATAACATCTAACTTCCAGATCTGAGCTAAAATATTAGTCAACCTAATCGTTAAAATTGGACCACCATCCTTAAAGACCTCTGGAGCCAATCCATCTGGACCAACTGTCCTTCCTTGTTTCAGATTAACTATACCTTTTGAACTTTCGCTTGAGTTGGGGGACCTACTTCAATGTTCCAATCACACTGTCTAGGAATGGAGGGTAGTTGTAGAGTAGCTGAAGGCCAGTGAACTATTCTCTAAAATTTTCCGCCCATTGTTCTAAACGTCTGGACTGAGAGCAGATGAGAGTGTCGTCTTCTTCCAAGATAGTCTGACTTACACTTGACTTATTAATTACGGTTCTTTCATTAATCTGTAGAGCTGTCTTGTGTTTCCTATAGCCGCCGCCTTTTCCATCTCTTTTGCTTTCGTCGCCCACCACTGCTCACGGTCGTTCCTTAGACTTTTGGTTAACCTAGATCTGATTTGTTTTCGCTCTTTATATATTACCACCTCTGAATTAACTGCTTTTATGAATCCGGTGTCCATCTTGTTATGTTAATGAAGTATGGCAACTTGGACCAATGCATATATGTGCCTGGTCCTACGTTGTAGCTGACTGACTGACTGACGTACTAAACTGAAGGCAGGAAATTACTTTTTCTCACCCAATATGTACCTTTAGCAAAAATACATTGTTAATCAGAAAGAAATCAAATACATATTATTAAAAATAGTAAAACAATAATGCATAATTTAGTTAGCTAACAGATCAGATCTATAAATTAATGTCACTGTTTATAATGTGACCAGATCTCTGGTTTCAATATGATTGAATAAGGCATCTAAAATTTCTTTTGGTGGACCTTCTGCAACCAATCGTCCAGACTGCATGACTATAACACGTGAGCATAAACGACGAACTGAAGCAAGTCGATGGGCTATGAGTAATATTGTGGCTCCTTGAAATTCTTGGTCAAGGACTTGCTGTTTGTATGGAAAATATAAATAAATGTTAAAACACTGTTACATAAGTGACATATGTATTCTTGTTATAGTACATTTCGTTATTAAGTAGGAAATTAGTCATTAGTAGAACTTATACGTGTCAGTAGTTACTTTTTCTTCAACTTATTAGCAAGGAAGAAAATATCAGAATATAGTCTGCTCAGTCAAATATATTTTTGTCACGAGAACTAATGATAAAGAAGGAAAGTTAGAGATTGTATTCTGTGCAATAAAGTTTAACCTATATACTAAATAACTTCTGAACACTATTAGCCCATTGAAAATACGTCAAGTTTGTATTTTCGTTTAAATTAATTAACAAAACGAGAGGATAGTATAAAAAACAAACAAACTGATAAACTAGTTATCCATATCTCATACGTCGATAACTTAAGGTCATAATCGAAATGTTGCTGAAACATGGCGAGGTAGTTGACGCTGACAGGCCCGTAAATCTAGACCATACGATTTCACGACCATTTAAGACAGAAAGAAAATGCCAATTAACTAATAAAATACAATACAAGGTGGAAAGTAATGTGTTGAACACATAATTTGTTAATTTCCGCTTTAAATACATGGAAATGAGTTAGCTGTTCAAATAAATCTGATTGTGGAAGAATTAAAAAGGAACCACATCAAGATGTTATCTGAAACTGAATATGTTATTGTCGAAATTACAGATGAATAATTCAGCCAGTTAGAAATCACTAAGAATATAGAATTCGATTCACTGAGTAATGGAAGAAAGGATTAAGCATTAAAAGAGATATGAGAGTTATAACATCCGAACTTTTAAACAATAATATGAATTCCAGCAATTATGATCCAACTAATGAGAAAAAAAGTAAAATTGGTAAATTATTTGTACAGTAACTTAAACCTTATTTCGTTCAATAGATAAGTCAAAGACATATCTAAATTCTCTGTGAATTTAGACATAATAGTTGTATCATAATTAAATAACTTTTTACAACAAGCTGGAGCATGCTATACAGTAACCAAAGTCTGGACAGTAATGTTACACAATTAATTTATTAATTAATGACTAACACAGAATGAAATCTTACATGATAGTTTCTTCACATTTGTTGTCCACTGAAGCAGTGGCTTCATCTAAACAAATAATTTTTGGCCTAGGTTGACGAAGTAAAGCTCGAGCTAAACAAATCAATTGCCTTTGCCCGGCAGATATATCTCGTCCTGATTCACCAACTTCACGAAGTAACCACTGAGAGGCTTGTAAACGACTTGTGGCCAGTTGACATTTCAATAAAACGTCTTCCAATACAGAATCATTTAGCTTACTAGTAGTAATTTTTTTGGGAGAAAAAAATATGAGGGAAGTGTTGGGATTATAAATGTGGTAATAATAATGACTGAACTTAAACAAAGATCGGTTAACAAAAACTGGCGATATAGCTTTGAAGAGTTAGATGATGGAGGGTAGTAGAGTGTTTAGGTCATTTCTCATCCTATTTCGGGATCTGCCACTTTTATTGTTTTAAATATCATAGAATAAGCCCGTATACTATGGTGCCATCATTATAAATGATAGTTTTGTGTACAGCATATGTTGAATACACTAGTAGGATATAATTTATTTATTCTACTTTCTACTGATATTATAATGTACGAATTTAGTCCTAAGGATGAGATACTTATCATTGGTTGGATAAAAATCCCTACTGGTAAAGTAACAATCACATCCTTCCTTATAATTTGGTCGTGGTTGTGATGTCTACAAATGTATGAATAAGATGAAAAAAAGTAAACGAAAACCAATCCAGGACGTTGCATCAGTTTATCTAGTCATTGACTGTTGGATTGAGTCGTGTTGGTAGGTTAAGATAACCTAGTTAGGGTCAGCACCATTATCGTAACGAGTCGCTGGATCTGTCAAGTGACATGATTTAAAATCAGTAACAATGGCACAGATTCAGTCATATTTTCTATTGTTTTGGATCTTGGGTTTTATGATCAAATTATGTTCTTTTATTCCATGAACTTATTTTTTTTCGAATTATACTGTCTACGGCTAATCTTTTCTGTTATCATTAATACCGTTACTACTGCTATTACTATGGCATTTGTTTTTATAATTTTATCTCGCCGTGCTGATATGGTATGGCAACTTGAACCGATGCACGAATGTTCCAGGTTCTACGGTGCTTACGGTTGACTGACGTTGTGATCAGTTAACGAAGAGATACGGGATTTCGTTTCGGCGTGAGTTAATTTCAATATTAATGAGTTGAAAATGTTTTATATGACAAGATTAATCACAATAGAGGGAAAATAGCTTCTAATGAACATACTTCTCAGGATCTAGATTGTCTCGTAAGCACCCAGAAAAGAGAAATGGTTCCTGACAAATAGTTAGAATCCGAGAACGAAGTAAGGTGAGAGGAATAGTGCGAACATCTATTCCATCGACAAACACCTTGCAAATGGAAAATAGTTAGGGAAAGCGAAGAATGATAATACTAAACAGTAATAATATCAATGAACAAATAAAGTATATGGTCGATGAAAATTTCGATATCATTTTAATCAGATAATAAATAAGCTGCTAAAACGGAAGGAAAGTGAAACTTTGAAACTTATCCCCTGAGAAATCAGCATGTATATTTGATGCATCAGATGAAAGTGAACTGTGATTAATCAATGAAGGTTGATGAGAAGGCCCACTACAATGTTTTGTATAAATCATTATGCTCATAACGAAACTCTGGTTTACTACTCGGATTTTCACTGAATGAGGATTGCGCTTAATTGTATCAAGCAAACTATTGTCTGACCTGTACCCTGGTACTCTGTGTTTAGTCGTGAAATGTGATTTAATCAAGTAGTCTAATTATTTAGTATCTGTCATAGTGTGTCCAGTCAGATTACTGAATCGATTATCATACTATCGTATATTCAAATGACAGATAAATATTGACTGAATTTCTCCTCCTTGAATGTGAGTTTAACGTAAACTCATTATTATTTGTTGTAGAACCTCTTACTTTTTATCTATTTTTGCCCATAAATATTTTGAGAAGCTAAGACAAGACATTAATTTATTCAACCTCGAGTGCGTTATTCCGGTAAATCTAATATCATAGTGACGTGTTTCAAGTACACACCACATGTGGATTTTAATAGTGCAGCATAATATCATTACTTATCCACAGGGCCATCTGACTGGTAATTTAGAGAGCAGAGGGAATTTGGTGAGGACTGTTAACGGTTAGTGAACTCATAATGTGGTGTGTGCTACTGATGTGGACAGATATAAGTAGTATGTGTCACCAATCGAAAGTGAAATGTCTAGCGGCAGAAGGTGAAGAAGATCGAAGTAAAGAGAACGAGATTAGAGAATGATTGCTGTGGAAATGAAGGAACCATGAAGTCTGAGACGATTGATTGACATTTTGCAAATGAAGTGTTTACTGTGTGGTTCTCAGATTTTACTAAGAGATCCTGTAATTTTGTATTCAAATACATTCGATTGTCCCCACCTACATTTTTGTTCGCTACAATAAGCAGGCACGGGATGAAAATCATAACACAAGTAATATATAGATAAGATATATATAATTAATTCTGATCTTACATTTATGTTGTAAGCTGATTTATCAAATCAGCTGACCAAATAAATTCGAGTTTCGTATACAGACTACCTACTTTTTTCAAACACCGACTTGAATGTTCGAATTCCGTTTTCATTAGCCTAATGCTGTAACTCTCAAAAAGTGTGTGAATTACATTAAAGTATACAAAGTTGTACTTTCTTTGTCGAGATAAAGATTGTTGGTTGAAAGACTATACATTTACTATTTAACAATCAGAACATACTATTGACTGCATTCTAACTTTTATAGTTATTGAAATTCTTAGAATTTTCAACAGGTGTATCATTACTTTAGTATAGTGAGTAATTTTGGATTTGATATAACGAGTAGTGGAGTATCATGGATTTATTTATGATATGATAAATAACTTAATCATATTCTTTAAGTTGAATATTTGAGACATGAATGATAATATGAATTCCTTAACATATTCAGTCGATTAGGGAGTAGTTACACGTTTTGAGATCTATTCCCACAATATTTGGAAAACGATTCCATAAGCAAATGGTGAGTTCGAATATATTAGTCATTTTAGTAAATTTACAAGACAATTAACCTCCCATGATTCTAGTGATCCTTTGTATGACGGAGACCGCAGTTTGACTATTAGATTACACCAAAATTACTGATTTACGCGGCTGAGTTTTTAGAAGATGGATATAATTAGTTCAACATTCTACATAGAAAAATGATTGGAAGAATACAAGCAAAAAAATCGCAGTGTTGTCGACTACAGTCGTGAATATCCTGACCAACGGAAGTAACACACTGATTCAAAACATAGGTACAGTAGACCAATATTTATTTAAAATGAATCCAAAATCAAGAATGACTTAAGTGTCATAAATGTATTTTAAAATACACAAAGTGAGGTACTATAAATATATTTACGAATAAAGTAATGCATTAACGGTGTTTCATATTAGGAAATTAGCACATAAGGAAGGATCTATAATTCAGAGATTTTAACCACGGCCAATGAGCATCTAAGTTCAATAAGGAGTGGATCAAAAGCTCTGAACATTTAGAACACGACAAATTGAGTGATCACGACCGAAGTTGGGGATCGTTTAAGTCATTTGTAAGAAGACAACTAATCACATGACATTGAATACAATAGAAAGCTACGTCAGTGGATATTGAAAATAAGGGGATATATCAATTACAAGTAGGGAAGGGGGAGTGACAAATGAAAAACAAGATAGGGATTGAGAAATACATGCGTGTACACAAAATCTGTGCACACGATCAAGATCGTAGATGATATTCAACACTGCCTTTAAGCTGAGATGGCTACTCTAATCTCGCTAGACAGCATTCAGCAGTCAACGGCCAATGGAAATGATACTTGTGGCAGAACCACGGTAGTTGATATAAAGGACGACCTCAAAGCTAACATCTTACTTTTAAGGCAAGAACCTTCCACACATCCCAGTTCTACTAACCATTATATTTACAATTTCATACCAGACAAACGACTAGTAATTGCTTGGACTTTTTGTGTTACTAAAGATCAGATCATAAATTTTACTATATTTAGTGATTATATATTAGTATCACAAAATACCACTTTGGATGAGCAAAAAACGGTTTTGTCAAGGAATTATTATATTGTTGACCAGAGCAACTTGAAAACACTAAACAAATGTAACATACTTGACCGGTTGCACCTATAAATCCCGTCTGATTGGCTATATATTGGTTCGTATACGGTCCAGGGAGGTGGTCAACCAGACGTAATAACACTTTGATGAGACTACTTTTACCAGATCCTGTACGGCCAACAATTCCTACACATTCACCGGGTTTAACAGTAAAACTGACATCATCAAGAGCTTTGACAGATTGTTCATTAGCTGACAGGGAGTTTTGACGATAGGTAAGCGAAACGTTGTTGAAAAAAATGGATCCAGATGCTGGCCAGTTAGGCAGTAGTCCTGTAGGATAAGCAATACCACTTTTCCTCTCTTTCGGCAAACGAAGGTGACTGTGTGACGAAGAACGAGGTTGAGGCCCCTTCAGAAGAGTAATTACACGAATACGAGGTAATTCCAAATTATTTTTATAAAAATTGTAACACATAACATTTAACACAGGGATTTAGTATTTCCATTTCCATAAGAATTAGAAAGCGTATATTACATTTAAATGTTGGATAAATGGTTGAAGAGCAGGTAGATCTGATAATCCTATTCAACGAAGGAGATAAGTTGATCAATTTTACAACATTGTTTCCTAAAGTGCTGCCCAGGCTTCGTATTTTATAAACTCATTAAAGGCTACTGAAATGTTTTCCGTGGTAATATGAATTACAAACATGAATTCAATCTCCTAAGCTACAACAATTCGTGGATGGGAAGCTGACCGAGGCGGAATTTGAAACTGTCCGACCATTACTGATTTCAGGGACGAAAGCTTTATTATTGTCCACTTTGTGTAACAATCTTACAGAGAGCGGCTGAATCCACAGGCCATCTACAATACGTGGCACAGTGTTCTCACGGGTCAATCGCTCAGTTTAGTGACGTATATATTTTTACGCAGTGGAATGTCTGAGATTACGCCGAACTGAAAATCATATTACATCCTTAGGTGGATATTTTGAGTATCAAATGGGTGGAGATAATGGTCTAGAGCAATTTCTATTCACCACAGCGGGATTGAATTGATTTATGTTCTCATAGTAACTGTGTTAATCTACGCTTGGAAACATAAAGTTATTCAAGTCAAATAACTTACTTGTTTTGACTTTGGTCACCCTAAGACTGTAATCAACAGCCTAGGGACTAGTTTAGAAATTTGTCTGTAGATAATTAAATCCTACAGTACAATATTAGTAATGTGAATATAACTCCATCAAAATTAAATCTAATCCTTTAAAATGATCCTAAGTATACTTTCTTGTGGGGACGAATATATTACATATATAGCTAGTAACTATTTACATCAAATTGTTATATTTAGACTGAAAAACATATACAAAAAATAATTAAATACAATTCTAAAAGAAATTTATACAAAACTAAAAACGAACAGTAAACTATGGACTAACCATGGGTTTAATTGAAACAATATCATGTTCAACTGGAGTATCATCAGTTAATTCTTGACAACGTTCTACAGCTACAAGATTTTTCTCTGTTTCAGTCATATCATACACAACACTAGTCATTAAACCGGAAATATTAAGTGCATACACAACCGACAAACCAATAGAAGCTATCTGAAATAAAGAAAAAAAAAGTGGAATCTTAGTGTTTAGTTTGAGATTGGTTGTACTTTATCTAATCTTATAGACTTATTGAACTGTCTGTAAAACATATGGTTCGTAAGGTGGAGTTAGAGTTCTGCAAACCATGCATTGAAAACCTTAATGATTAAATTTATCAAAGAGAAAGAATTAAGCAATTCAACCAACTAAAAATGATATTATGAATGCCTACCGTTTTAAATTGGTCGAATTTTTGTTTGCGGCTTCCACTTGTTTTTATATGTTAACTATTATAAGATTAAACATTCTAATCTATACGTGAAAGTGTAACTGTTATCCATGATTTTTTCCAGTTATACGTTACTGTTCAGTATAGTGTATTTAATTGCTTATTTAAACGACTATATTTATTTAAAACTACTGCATTGATTATACTAATTTTGTTTTAGAAACAGACGAAATAATAAAAATAAGATGTACATGTTTTAAGTAGGATTTTTAAACAGATTTAGATTTGACAGAAGCATTACGTGTTGTGACCAAACAGAAAATTTGTAGGTAAGTTGTACACAAGTGAGCTCAGCACTAAACCAGTAAATGAATGCGGAACCATATTAACTATACCTAGCTTGGCTTTAGGGGTATGTTTTTTACTTCTCTACAAAATATGTGACTTGTGAATAACTAGTGGTATTGCAACAAATTAATGAGGTATAGATCCGTGCTGTGTATCTAGGTTCGGATAACACTATTTGGCTGTGAGAGATGGTGATACTACCCGGTAGTCGAGACTGTAATAGGTAGAACATGGTCGAAAGTCGAGTGTTTCAACTAATGGGTTGTCGCTGTACGTGAAAACAGTGTATACAAACTTTGAAAATGATTCTTATTTTACATGAACATCAATGATTGAGAAACAATTTTTCAACCTTCAACTTGCACTTTTATTTTTCCTCCATATAAAAACATATTAACACCGAATATCAATAATTAATAACTCAATCTTACACATACACAATTCTTTCAGTCATTTATTTTTACATCGTGAACTTTTGACATGATTTGCATTTAACTGATTCATGTTATCCTATTTACTAAAATCAACATCCAAATATGATTGGATTAACATGGTATAGATTTGATTATTAAAACGCTATATATTTCTTTGATGAATTTGATTATTACCCTGAAGAAGTCCAGACAAGTTTGCTGGACAAAACGTTGGAATTACTTTAAATTTCAATCGCTGAGATTATTTCAAATATAATTTTCACATATAATGACTTCTGATTGATTGAATTTCGTATCTTTGTGGTAGTCGTATTAAGATGAAATAAACTAATACGTATACAGATATATACATATGGGATGTAAAGTACCTATACTCATTTATTATGTCATCAATGAGATGCCTGTAGCTTTAAATAAACATCACATTTTATCGGAAATTGAACCACCTATCTTCTAGTTAAACAATGGTTTCAGTTTTGTGCCACCTGGGCTAGACGGTCAAATTGCTGAGCTTTCATTGTATTCCTGGACAATATCAGTGCCTACCTTCATGTAGAAGTGGATTTTGCTGCTATTCCACAAGTATCACGTCGGTTTATTCCGATGGCCTTGTTTGTGATTATCTGTCTTCGTAGATTTTGGTTCTTATCATTTTTCATTGTATTCACGTTGACTGTTTTTTATTATTTGATCCCCAGCCTTGTAATTGATCGATCACTTTTGTATAAGTTCATAGATTGGGTGTTTGTCACAATCCGAATTCAGTCAAACACCCAATAAGAATTAGAAGTCAAGGTGAAGTTTCTTTGAATTTTATTGTAGTTAGACAACTCCTCAAGATTGCACTATTCATCATATACTTATTAAAACCACTAGATGACTGAAACCGTAATTTATATCAACGATAAACTTAAAATATAACATGGCTAAAGAAAAATGACTCAATGTAAATCATTGATGTAGTTAAGTACATTTTTAATGATAAACGAACTATAACTTACATGTGTCCAGTCAAATAATCGACCAATTAATGATACACTGACCACACCAGTAATCACAGCACTGCCAATTAATTGTAGTCTTATACTTAACCAACAACTAGCAGCCAAGCTAGCTAACTCAGCACGTATTTGATCAGATAATTTACAAGCTGTCAGTTGTCGAAAACGGATTTCTTGACCTAAACCATGTATTACTGCTAATCCAGATAAAGTATCGGTATAATGACCATAAACAGGTGAACGAACAATACTGGGAATTGTGAATAGTAATAATATCAACATTAATAGAAAACGTTTAAAGTAAAAAAAAAGAAGTGAAATAAAGTATAATTTTTTTCTAGATAAGTGGTTTATGATTACGTATGACTAAAAAGTAATTATTTATGAAAAGCCAAAACTGTTACACAACTAACATAATTCAAAATAAGCTTATGGTAAAATGATTTTGAGTAGATACCTATTTTCGAACATTACTTCAAACATGTATTTTAAGGTAAATGAGTTAGTCTATGTGTAAGTTATGTATACAATGCAAGCAATATATATATATATATATATATATATATATATATATATATATATATATATATATTGAGAGATATAAATTCGGAAAGTGATCGATAAAGGCACGAAAGTTTTAATTTGTCCTATTAACGAACCTTATTTCAAATAGAAAGTAGACTATATGTCGAGCAACCGATATTTGTAATAAGTATGTTATTCGGCATACAAGTCTATAATATAAAGTAAAATTTATGGTTGCATTCCAAACAAGCATTGAAATTGATCTAAAAAATTTATTAGATCAATTGAGAAATATCTATGCATGTACAGTAAGAAGTGTTAGTTATGCAACGAATGAACTTGAAAGTATGTGTTTTTCGATAAATAGTTTGGTTAGCGAGTTTTGACGAAAATGAAACTTGGGCACGGATTTCACGATCAATAGACTGTGAATATCTAGTGTTCAAATAATCGGGAAAACTCTAAGAGTCACAGCAAGCTTCTAGAAATATGGCATTCAGATCAATCGGCAATCAATAAACATATCGACATGGATTCAGTATTTGAACTTATATAAAAGTGATCGATCAATTACAAGGCTGGGGATCAAATAATAAAAAACAGTCAACGTGAATACAATGAAAAATGATAAGAACCAAAATCTACGAAGACAGATAATCACAAACAAGGCCATCGGAATAAACCGACGTGATACTTGTGGAATAGCAGCAAAATCCACTTCTACATGAAGGTAGGCACTGATATTGTCCAGGAATACAATGAAAGTTCTGCAATTTAGCTATATGACTCAGGAAACACAATACCACCAAAATCATTCACAGGTAAGTTTCATCACAGACAGATATTACATAAAGTACCACAAACAGCTATTTCATCTTGCTTTGAGACTGATTAAAAGTGCACATCAACCAAGATCAACGTCGAGAACTCTAAGTCTAATAGTGAGCACTCAAATGCCATTTATCGATTGATGAAATTCAAATAACACCGAAGGGTGTAGCGAATCGTTTAATAAATGTGAGTCAGCTATTACATAAACATAATTCACGTATGTCCATGAGATTTTATTATTGTCACTCAAACGTTTCCCTAATGGTTGATAAATTAAACTATCAACTGTATGGTCAAAATTTACAAACTGGTTCCACCTACCTACTGATATAGTAGTATGATTAGAATACACAGTAAAAGTGTAGCTCAAAGCTAGGGAGATGAACAAATAATTGATTAATAGGTCACAAAAATATTTATATATACTTCAATTGAAATATTGACAATAATATGTATTCGATTGGGTGAGTTAAGGACAGTCAGTACTTTGAAAATAAATAACTTATTTTCGATTAGCGTCACTTTTTAACTTTCACGAAATCATTGTTACGTTGTATAACAAAGAAATTCTAACAATTATCTTATCGCGAAAAAAATACACATTATAGAGGTATCTAACCTCTGTTTAGTTTATATACAAGATAAACAGTCGTAGGTTTGAATTTCACCTCATTTACATAAGGCAGTCCGTTAGAATAAATAATCAACTTTCAAATAAATAACAAATACAGCTGATAATCTATAGCATAAACCGGTGTAATCAAAGTGAACTATTATTAGTTTAATGATAATAATAACAATCGAATGAGATAGGTAATCAAGATGAATTGTACGGTCTTATAACAGCATTAATGTCATTATCAGTGAAAGTTTAAAAGTTTTTACAGATTTCCAATATTTAATAAACACTAGGAGATAAATCGTGAAGAGTAACATGAAAACATTATAAAGGAATTATAGAATAACTACGAGATTAAAAAAAGCCGCCACATAATATAAATCGAAAGAGAAATTAACCAATGAATGATAGATTGATCATTATTGTAAAATTAAAAAAAAAGACAAATTAACTCACCTAGAAATTCGCTTTAGATCTCTAGCAGCTCCACGATATTGCCTTTGAATAGACCAGAAAATGAATACAAGAGGTAGCAGAAAGAAGATTAACGTTGGTAGTGATACACAAACAATAACTAATGCACCCAATAATCCAGCTAAACTGGCTAGTAGAATATTTAATTGGAATGGTAATGCGTCATCTACTGTACCAACGTCAGATGAGAAACGATTCAGAATACGACCTTGCGGTGTAGTATTAAAGTAATTCTGTCGTCCCTACAATGAGAGAAATATATATATATATATATATATATATATATATATATATATAAGAGAGAGAGAGAGAGAGAGAGAGGCTACAAGCGTCTCATAAGTGTTTTAGCATTTATGAAAGAACTTTGGTATGCATGTTTGGAAAAATTGCTAGGCCAATAATTATGACCATTTGCGTATGTGTATGACGTAACGAAAGGTTATCGAGTGTGAAATAGAATGTATATGCCTTGGATAATTCTACAAACTTACAGTGTCAGTTATATTTTATTTGCGATTACGAAATATCAGAGTTAAAGTATAAAAGCAATAATTTGAGCTTGACTACGTGTTCTAGCATAAGAATGAATTAGATGCTGAATAGTACTGATTTGCGCATATCAACTACTAAATTATTCAAACCGGAGTAGATCGTTAAGGTTACTTGTCTCAAATTTTGATATCGAAATCCCAACCTTAGTGGTACGTCTTCTACTGATAAGTAAACCCTTGGAAATAATACTTCACCCCACATGTCCCAAATTTAAACAATAATTAGAAGCGGACGAATATATATTCTGAAGTTGCGAACAATAAGAGACAGTGGTAACAAAATTGGAGTTTATACACGGTTTACATTTAAATTCTTAGCACATTCTTAATATAATCGCTGTCAATGATTAGTTGAAAGCGGACCAACCAATGAGATCTTACCTAACCTACGTATGCAATAACCAGAGTAGATCTATAGAATCTGTTTTTAAGATCCATTTATATCAGACTTTTCCGTTCATGCTTTCTATCTATACACTTTCATGACAATAAAGACGTGGTTCTTTTCCTTTGCCTTCTTCGGAATGTGCCTGGTTAATTCTGGTGATTTGATCCCGAAAACATATAACGGAGTATTGGGCGGTATTCTACGATGATTCTTATAGATGAAGATAGACGTCTCCTACGAAGTTTAGCAAATTAGATTACTGGACATTTGTACTAAATTCCACGTTGTTTACGACTGAGTGACTGATTGACTACTGTTTTCATGGGTATACGTTCCGAATGTCGATTAAGTCACCACTAGACTAAGACGATCAAAAATTTTAAATGTGCAGTGTAATTGTATGGTGGGATTTTCAGCATGTATTATGCCAACTTTACATAAGAATGTAAGGAAATAAATAGCAAATATGATATTCGCATTTTTTTCGTATATTTAATCAAAAGGTTTACATAACTTCAGTGCCAGATGTGCAACCCTATTTATAACTCACTATATTGATGTACTATGTGTTGTAAAACGTTTAGTAATAGTATAATGAACAAAGAGTCCGGGAAAGTAAACCAATTTGTTGTACTAAGCAAAACCACACACCGAATTTGTAAAATATGAAAGCAATACATTGAATACATTATTTGCACAGCTTCTTTGAGGTGTCTCTTACAAACTCTATCGTTGTTCCATTCCTGTTGCTACTCTGACTGCTTTTGTTTTTCTTTCTCTTCTCCTCATTTTCCTCTTCTGTCAGTAAGAATCCTACTCTCGCTTCCTGATACATACTACTTATATCCGTCAGTATAAGTAGCAGACAACACAATACCATTTACATGATTATAATTACTACAATAATAGTAAATTGACCTAGAAGACAAATAAAACTTATTAATGATATGCAACGCATTTTCATTACCTATCAAAAACTTAAAATCTCAAATTTATTTGACAAACCTCCAAAATTGTGTCCAAAGCAGATTCATGAACAACAGATGCAGCGACTAGACCACCGAAAGCAAATAAAACAGCACGAAATATTGTAGCAATCAGATTACTTATCACTACAAATGCATAGATCTCTAAGTAATAATATCCAGTGATAGAATTAGGCTCACCAAACCGTACAGCAGAATGTATGCTCGTTTGAAGCAATTCATTAATGGATGAATTGTAATTAATTGATGATAAATTATGAGTTGAGTGAAGATATTTATTTTTCGTATGATTATCTGGGAATAATTCTATTTGGTAAGATGAGTCTTGAAATGATGAAACTACTGCAGATAAATTCCCATTTTGTACCCAGTATGATAACCACCAATCAGATGCATTTCGAGTACCTATTATTAAAAGGGGGAATGCACAACAAAATGAAGATTTAAGATATGCAGCAGCGGTATATATACCAAAAAGGGTATTACAACTTAAGTAAATCACTTTTCTGTAAAGACGATATAAATATGACTATCGATCAAAAACCTTCCGCTAATTTCAATATCAGTGGTCAAAAGCTCGCATTTGTATAAGTAAGGCTGGGTTCGAACCTGTAACCTATAGATGAGAGGCTCAGTGACGTTAGCAGTTAGTTAATTAATTCAGTATTTTGTAATTATATGTTATGTATATATAATAAGAGTTTTAATAAAGTATAAATTACTATTATCGCTACAAAAGCAGTTACATGTTCCATTCAAAGTAAAACTAATTAAATATTTATAAGAATGGAAGATTTGAAGTAATTGTCAGTAAATAACTGTCATTTTCTAAACCAGTATGCTGATACACTGGTCTGATTATAAATACTGAATTATTTGCAAAAATAAGGGTGTATCAGTTAACCGAAATATTTTCAATACGAGTTTGTTTAGTTTATCTGAACAATGAATATGTTTGGGTTAATGAACAAATAACATATAATTGGTTTTCTACAATAAAATCTATGCATTAAAAACTTAATTGAACTAAAATAAACAAAAATATGTACATAAATGGATAAACAGTAGCGACACATCATGCAGTATACATTTGTAGGTAGTTAACTAAGTAATAGTATGAAAATAAATGCAGTACTCTTTCGGCAGACATAAACAATATACCGTAGAATGTAACAGGATAACATAATAGTTGAAGTCACGACGCCATAAATGTAGCACAGAGAAAATAAATAAAAGTAGGGAGATTGGTTTAACTCCGCCTGGAGCACCTCCGGGGGCTACTACCGGTCCCAAGCCCGGATAAAGGAGGAAGGTTGGGCATGGGGTTAGCGACCCCATCTCGTAGAAAACTAACTCGCTAAAAAACGCTAACCAGAAAACTTTTTTCAAACCATTTAAACTCTGCCCTAGGAGCCAGAAGGTCTTCATTTAGAAGAGTTATGACGCCTCATGATGAAAGCCGAGTTCCTTCGGTAGTCACGAGGCGGATGCTTTTTCTGACAACCAGAGCAACCATTTATTTAAGTAAATGGAATGCTCGTACAATGTAGAAGACCGGGAGAGTCTTCCAAATTGCTGCGAAAATAAGGAGATACAACATGGAGGTGCTTGGGATTAGTGAAACATTGGACGCAAGTTGGAGCACCATCACAAGGAATGGATCACTGTTGATACACTGGATACGATTCAAGAAAGGAGGAACAAGAAAGCAGCTCCGATACAACACAACATGCAACAATCCAATCACAATCGACGGAGAAGATTTGGAAGATGTAAAATTTTTTAGATATCTGGGAAGTATCATTGATGAACACGGTGGATCAGCAAAGCAAGAGCAGTATATTTACAACTGAAGGACATCTGGAAATAAAAACAACTGTCAACCAACACCAAGGTCAGGATTTTCAATATAAATGTCAAAACAGTTCTACTGTATGAAGAAGAAACTTGGAGAACTACGAAAGCCATCATCCACAAGATACAAGTGTTTATTAACACTTGTCTACACAAAATAATTTGGATCCGTTGACCAAACACTATTAGCAACAATCTACTGTGGGAGAGAATAAACCAGATTCCAGCTGAGGAAGAAATTAGTAAGAAGCACTGGAAGTGGATAAACACACATTGAAGAAAGCACCCAACTGTGTCAGAAGGCGAGCCCTCACATGGAATCCTCAATGCCAAAGGAGGAGAGGAAGACCAAAGAACACATTACTCGGAGAAATGGAGACAGACAGACGTGAGAAGAATGAACGGAAATTGTCTAGAACTAGAAAGGAAGGCACAGGACAGAGTGCATTGGAGAACGCTGGTCGGCGGCCTATGCTCCATTGGGAGTAACAGGCGTAAGTAAGTAAGTAAGGGAGATTGATTTCGAGGTATATCATTTACTGGGGTCAACCAGTAAGGAATCTAAGACAGGAGGTCTATGCTTTCTCATACGGGCCAGATCACGAGAAAACGTTCGCAGCGAAGACCGGTCTATATATCACTAACTTTCGTCAAACTGTGATGTAAAGCAATCTTCAATTTATGGGAAGAAAAAAGCCATCTCTAACTAGTATAAATCCTTAAACAAAACAACTCAGTAGATGTGTGCATCCATTAATTTACTCAGTTTTCACATAAACTCCGAATTCTGACAATTACTTTCGTTCATATTTCTAAGACTTACGGTTAACTAACCTTACAAACCAAAAGCTATAGATATATTATGGCTAATGACCTGTAAGACTGAAAGTCGTGCACACGGTTATTTAGTTATTCCTTAGTATCAAAAACGAAAGGTGAGAAATTGACAATTTTTGATAAAAATCCTAATTTAGGTTTAAACAACTGGGTCTAATTTGCAATAAATACTTCAGGTGACGTTGACGATTTCAGTTGGCATCTGTTAATGTCTAAAAATGTTCCTCTATGATATCAGTCACTTAGCTGGTCATCAGTGTAGAATTATGATGATGAATAAAATAACTTATCGAATTTATTTGCGCACGACAAACTAAATAGCCTAATTACGAACTAACTCAATTAACACATACCTTGCATTAACAATAAAGACAAAATAATGGAGAATGTTAAAAAGTAGCCAATAGAATGAATATACGATTTGTAGACATGGGGACTAATGGAACCGACTGCCATATGTTCCATATTTATATTCACATTGTTATTGTTATTATTATTGATGACACAATCTGGACTGAATTCGGATTGATTGACACTGCTGTATTCTTTAATAGTAATTAATGGAACATCATCATTTTCCAACGTCGAATTATTATTGTTTTCACTACTGTCATGATGATTATCACTGGATAATGGGATTCATTATAAGGAGGACTGCTGTTGATGTCAAGAACGGGTTGATGCACATGATCGTTATCATCATTTTCAGGGTAAAGATTACCTGGAATTTTTCGAGTAATTATTCCATCTTTTAATTCAACAATAAAATCCACTTGAGCACGTTTATTTACAATTTTCTAAAAAGATAAAAAGAACATTAAGACAAATTCGAGAGAAATATATAAGGTAAACAAACAAATGATACTATACATAGTTGCTTGGAGAAACGCATCTTTACTTACAGTGTTCATTAACCAATCCAACTGGTGTGTGACGATAACTCTAGTTCTTCCTGATAAAAGACCAAGTAAACAATTGGTGATAATCTGTTGACCAACATCAACGTCAAGTGCAGATAATGGGTCATCTAAAAGATAAACATCGGCCTTTTGATAAACAGCTCGAGCAAGAGCAACACGAGCCCGTTGACCTCCACTAAGACTGTTCCACCAGCTTCACCAACATCTGTGTCTAAACCATTCGGAAGTTTACCCAGATCAACTTTTAAGGCACACGCTTCAATTACAGTATTCATCCATGCTAAATCACAATCTGAGCCAAATAAAATATTTTCGCGTATAGTTCCAGAATGAAGCCAAGGAGTTTGTCCCACATAAGCATATCGAAGTCGTGGATTCGTTTTCGTACTTTTATTTCTAAGTTCGTCTTCTGAAACAACCGATTGTAGTTCACCCAATATACTTAGAAGTAAAGATGATTTCCCGGAACCAACTGGTCCAATTACACCGACTAATTGTCCCTGTAAGTGATCATGAATGTAATGGAATTGTTAAGAATAATTATGTGGAATGGGTAATTAAATTGACATAGAGTATGATACTATGATGCGTCAATATAAATTGATATACCACTGAAATATACTTCTTATTCGGTACTCCAACTACCAACTAAAAACTTCGAATTCATATTTTTGTCTGACCCTAGTAGTTCGCTTGGTAGCTCGATAATAATTTAGGAAACATCAACTTTAGGTAGACAGGAGCCAAAACATTACATCAATAGATTGGCTTTCAACTTTTACAAATATGCGCATGTTGGTTCTAACAAAATTACTTAAACTTCGAAGATCCTGAATAATTCAGTACCAGTAAGCTTAAGTAGTCTGTTATCAACGAACACATTTTACAGCCAATTAGTACAATAAAATGAACTATTGTTCTGTACATGGAAAAGCAAGTAACCTCTGATGGCAACAACCCAAAAATACAACAAAACAACTACAGGGGATACTGAGGTATCCCCTTTGGGTTGAAATATCCCAACAGAAGCTGATAATCATTCATTCCTAAATGACAACAACATGAAAATCTAAACCCTTACAAAAGTTGGATTCGAATTTTAGTGGTGCTATATAATCAACTAATAACTTTTAACTCACCCACTGCACCTGGAGAGTGATATTTTTTAAAACTAAATTATCGCAGTTAGTATAATAGAATGATTCATTCATAATGTTTACTGGCATGTTGATAGTAGATTTTTCGGCAAAAGAACAAACAATCGGAATATCTGTTGGAATTCCAACATCAGAGAGCGGCGTATCAGTTAATTCTAATGAAAATGAACCAGATGATAAATAGAAGAGTTTTGTAATACGTTGCATGGAAATAGTTGCTTCCATAACACCATTAATAACCCAAGGAAAAGCATTCATGGGACCAATCAACATTCCAAATAATGCAAGACTAGAAAATACCTTAAAGAGAACAAGATGATACTGAGTGGATGTGCAGATTCAAATGGATATTTAAAAGACGAGTATTTAGTATTCAGTCAGTCAGCTGCAACGTAGGACCAGGCACATATATGCATCAGTCCAAGTTGCCATACCTCATTAACATAACAAGATAAACATCGGATTCATAAAAGTAGTTAATTCAGTTGTGGTAATATATAAAAGAAAGATTGCAATAAGGATATAGTACAGGAAGAAAGAATTAGTTCGTAGAAAAAAAGATATGAAGCGATTTTAATCTCTTAGTTTAAGAGAAGACAGAGAGTGTAATTTAGTATTCAAATAATAAGCAGATATTAATTTACAAACCAATATCAGTGTGAATCAGTTTAAAAGATCCAAAATGATAAATTTAAGGGGAAATTTATTCCATAGAAAATGGCATGGAATACATAAGACCGGAAAATCATTTTGAGGATGCTGACAAGTGACTATGACAGTAATTAAAAAAAACCCAAGGTATTCGATCCAACTTAGTTAATCATTGAGTCATGTACACAACTGAAAATTTACCACCAATAATTTTCAATAAAACCATATGCCAGATAAGTAGAGTTTTTAAGAAACAACAGTGCGAAACTTTATCCGTTTTTAACGAATATATGATATGTATTTCAAAATGATTATTCTACTGAAATTCATAGACGGTCATTAGTGTCACTAGACACTGAAACATTCACCTACTACAATCAGAAAATTGAGCATTATTAACTGAAGTCGCTGAAGATAACCTGATTTAAACAAATATATTTTTTCAACAACTAGTGTACTGAAAATTAGATAAAGGGATACCAAATCATTAAAAAGTTGCATCTATTTTTTGGAACGTAAAAGTTCATGACACTTATTTAAGACAGGTGTAGCATAATAGATTGGCAAGAAAAGCGTCTCCCAGTGGTTACGTCCAACAGAGAATAGGAAGTCTACTTTCCCATATATATATTCAGATGTGTTGAAATTCGCTTTTAAAATTAAACATGTAGATATTATTAAGGGAAGGAAACGTCGAAAAAAGCCTTAGCATCTAAATTGGGTATCTACCCTAACATATATCATGTATACTAGGCCGTTTTTAAGACCAATAAGTGATTAAGTTAAAAACATCAAGATAACATAAATGCAACTGAATATTTACCGCAGAAGCTTTTAATTCGTTACCGATAGCCACATAAGTTGCGAATGTTGAACTGGCTAACAATGCAGGACAGACAGCCCAAAAGAATACACAACAAGCGTCCAGCAACTTTTGACCACGTAGAGCGTTCAACTCCTGAATGCGAGAATGCATGACACGATTTTTCATTAAATTCTCCCAACATGCTAGTTTCACTGAAAGCGTATTTGATAGAATTTCAGACATCAACTAAATTTTCGAAAAGAAAGTAATCATAATGTTTATTACCAAAGTAAGATTTAGTATCAAAATTATATCACAAGAAAATTTATAAAATGAGAATTGAGAAATTTTGCATATAAATTTTTATGCATGAGCATCAGCTTTACTGATTGAATTTATAACTAAAGATTTTCACACAGAAATGTATAGGTTAACTACACAGTTTACGACTTCAAGGGAGAGATACAGAGGGTCAATATTTATCATGCAGAAATATGCTCAGTTTGGTCAATACATTGAAAATAATCAAGTAAACGAACTTAATATTACCAAATCAGGGATGCTAATAGTTTAGCGAAGTTGTTTAGGTAAATGAAACTATAGGTAAAATGACTACTTAAGTTTTCCATTGGGGAGAACACAAAGTAATTTTGGAAGACCTTGTTTATGGGATAAAAGTTTGACATATTTGAACAAAGTGCATGTTTACCTACAAATTGTTTTTTAATCTCGGGAAGACATGGAAAAACATCCTATGTGATACTTTTTTGAATCTAATCACAACATTATTCATTGCAACACAAGTGCGTTACTTGGTGGTTTAATCCTTTTTAACAGAAAAGATTAGTCGCGATCATGGAAGCATCATTGACCGATTTTAAGATAAACGATTAGTGATGACAAGTTACATGAATAACGATATTAGGAACAGCAAGACAGAAGTTCGAAGCACTCTATGACTTTTAGTCATATTTTATTGACAAGTAAAGATGTCGCGAGAATACAAAAATGTTGCCTTGACTATGTTTTCCAAAGATAAAAAAAGTTATTTGGTGTTACCTAGATACGTTGCTAACTAGTAGTGAACTATATCTGAACATCTTAGTCAAAAGAAGCGGTAATGCATAGGGTAGAAACATTTCAAGACACTACTATTTTTATATTGTGGTAAAATTTGGTAAAAGGAAACCATTTACAATCCTTTTTCAAGTGAACTTAAAACTTATTTTTCAGATTATCTCCCCGACAGAAGACAAATTTTAAGGCAACCGGGGTTTTATACAGAACAGAAACTAGGGGGTTTTAAGGAAACAAGTACGAAATAACTGAAAAAGCTATTTGTAATCGTGAATTATTAATTGGTGTTTATAATTATGCAGTAAGCTCGTAACAGAAAGCAGGTAACTGATATTTAGACAGCCTCAATTGTTTCGGGTTGGCCGACCACTTCAAAGCAATATAGAAAACGAGTACAGTTAGGACACATGAGAAGTTGAAACACTCACCTTAATCCGTGTATCCTTAAATATCATCAAACGGCGACTAAACTTCCCGATTTTTGTTGCTAAAATACGATTCAGAGGAAGTAACACAAGTAGAAACCCAATGCCTACTAAACAGGCTAGCCCGAGTTGGTGGTAAAGTAGTCCGACTGCAACAGATAACTGCAGAGGCATTGCCCACACTTCGTGAATACTAGGTGCGAAATTGACTATTCTATCAGCATCAGAGGTCAGATAATTAACCAAACATCCTGTTCCAATACAATTAAGTGACGAAGTTTTAAGGGATAAAATTTTCCTGTAAACCATCCCAGTTACACTGACTCTAACTTTGAAGCCGAAACTTGCCATTTTGTAGTTGTAGGATGTGCTCAAAACTGCTATCTTCAATGACAAAAAAACTAGTCCGAATCCAACAAGAATGCAAGACCATGAGGGAGTTTCGGAGTTCGTCACGTTTAGAATGAAATGATTTAAAACTATTGGACCACATAAACCGAAGCCACTAAGTAAAAGTTTGAGCAAACCGAGATACAGGAATTCACGACCGAACGCTTCATAACTTGCTTTTAAAAATGGAACACAAGCTTTGATAGAACACCCTTTGTTAGAAATATCGTGACTTTGTCTAATTGTTTCATCAATAGTTACAGATTTCAACTTTAATTTAGGGACTTTTGACTCCAAAGTGTATGTATTCAGACGTTTAGGGACCAAAGGTAGATTTGTGAGTGAATACAATTCTCCGTAATAACCACTACGCACTAGGTTATTAACCCAACAAAAACATAACTTTGAAAACCATGAAGCCGAATCTTCACGGTCATTAACATTTTGCGAAGTGGGTCTCTGTGTAATTTCATTTGACTGATAACTTGTAGACAACTGGATGCTATTGGAATTTTGTCTTAAGATTCTAGCCCTTCTGCGCCTAGGCTCTTCCGAGGGGTAGAACACTGGGACCTTGGAAAGTAAATGCAGACATAACAAGAGTAATTGAATATAGCAATTAACAATAACATATGGTCTCCATAGCGCATCCACTTCTCTACGAAAAGACCAGCAGTTTATGGCTAAGCAAAAAAAGTATACTATTGAAAACGAAAGATGAATCCGAGAACCCCTTGAAGAATATTTGAGGGCTTTACCATGGAGATAATCAAGGATTAGTGTTGTAATCCAGAGTATTACTGTTATGAAACTGTGAATTGCAAAAAAACGAGAGTTAATAGAAAACCCCTCCTCGTAGTATGGAAGAAGAAGCCCGAGAACGATAATCAAACCACTGCTGGTAACGATTGTTATATCTATGGCCACTCGAAAATAGAAGACTGAACAATAAAAACTGTCAAATGCTAAGTGCCGCCACAGGACAACGCAATAAATGAATGAGATGATTGTACACAATAAAGTCAAAGGGATATAAACGTATATTTCAAACCAGCAAACACCAACAACTCCATCGTGCCATGGACTAGGATCCAAATTCCCACATACGAATTCCACAAAAGGGACCTGCATCGCACAGGTTCGATTTTGTGACTAGTTCAGTGGCCTTGAGGTTGAATTAATCACTTAAAAAAACAAATCTGAAAAGCACATCATTGTGCTAAGAAAATGAACCCCGGCTTGTTGTTTTATGCAGTATTATAGATAACCCTATCCGATCAAGGAGTTGAACTAGTACTGAGCGTTCAGTAGTTGTGCATCCCAGTGATGTTTTCGAAAGGATTATGAAACTCAGGAATCCGACAACCAGGGACCAAGTCAGAGATGTTATCAATCTATTGAAGAAGGTTTTTCATTAAAAGTATGCCATGTAACAGTGATAGATAAGTTGGACTCATCAAGTCGTGCGTGAAACAAGCTCAACATTGAAAGGCAGGAAATACGATACCAGTATGTAGTGTATGTTCGTTGTTTCGATCATAAAAGAAGGCCGATGGGCCATGGTCAGAGAGTAAAAGGAAGAATATGTGTTATTATGCTCATTTTTCATAGATCAAAGGTAACCGGCTGTAATGCCATGTTTTGCTCCCATTTAAGCAGTATAATTAAGAAAGTGTATAAACCCAAAACAAGAACTAAAGGCCAGTAAGACTTGCCTAACAGAGAACAAACGATATTGTTCTGAGACTAGAGATAACAGTCATTTACGCATGAGAACATAGTTTACAGCGCAATAAACCGTTCTTCAGTAACAATATTCACTGAAGGTCTACTTAAAAAGACTTGGAATATCATTCCAATATGCAATGCATGTCGGCGTAAGTCAGTCAGATGTGGCAAATAAAAATTACAGCCATAGCAAACTTCAAAGCATAATCTAGCTTTTTAATAAAAATTACATCTTAGTATGACGAATTAGATGACTACATTAGAGTGAATATGATCATTGTTCTGGTTTGAGATACATTAGGTTAACGTCACAGCACTGAGTATAAATCCACCGTTGATGTACTTTGTAGCAACTGAATATAGGAGCCAAAGCTCATCTGATGACCTGCGGTTAGAAGAAATCATTAAACTAGAGGATAGGGTTATTGAATTTCCTATTCTATGTAAGCAATGCATTTCGAATTTTCCTGTACCCAAGCTGCCAGCTTTGGGGAAATTTTGGGGACTTCCCCAGGTCTGGGGAAATTTAGGGTTTCTTGTCTCATTTCCCCAAAATTTCCCCAAAATTCACTATAGAGGCTTCCCCAAAATTTCCCCAAAATGGACTAAATTTTACCCAAAGTTGGGAGCCTGGGTATGAACAGTGGAACGTCTAGGTGTTTAAATTAATATAACTTCATGATCTAATTGGTCCACACTGTCCAGCCTGTTTTCAGGTTTATTCACTTCAGAGTGCATCGAGGAATTTACGAATATCACACATTTCTAAGAACTTTCGTTTACTCGTTGCTTCTTGACTACAAAACGTTTCAATAAAATGAACATAAATTCTCAATATATATATGTAGTAAGTGGCAAAATAATTGTTCCTTATTTGCATGGATCACAATAGAATTTGTATAGGTTGTTAACGAGATCTGACTTAATGAATTGGAAACGGCTAGTCTCATTGATAGATCTAGGTAGTGTTATATCAAGATGAAGGTTTAAATATATTGATTATTACTATTTACGTTAATACAATAGTAATGTTATTCATAATAACCCAATGAATAGAATATTTAATTTCTGATGACTCATGAGTTAATGTAAGTTGCTTCTTTAAGAAGGAATAATATTCTTCAAACTAACCTGGGATATTACTAATAAGACATTAGTATTATCATTATATAATTAAAATGACAATATTTACTCGAATTTTATAAGGACCACATTATGGAAATATTAAGTCGGCTAAAAGATTTGATCCAACCATGCTGTTATTCCTTTCAGGAATGTATGCTTAAAATCATTCGCGATTCTGCGACGTTTCTGTCACACATGAAGAACATTGTCAAAGTATTGTTTTAAATTGTACCAAGAGAGTTAAAATTACCTGTAGACTATATTATGATGCATGAGGAAACTTCTGACAATTAAATTTAAAAGATACCTGGGATAAAAATACCTAAACAAATGTATTTTAATTTACATATAAATATTTCGGTTACTGATTACCAGAATAATAAGCGTTTTAATAATGAATATAGTGGTTAATGTAATTGTAAAAGATGCTGCTGTTAATAAGCAAACTATATTCAAATTTTAAAGAGTCCATAAAATCTTTTATTCCTTAAGGTGTTTAGTAGGAACTCTTAGTTACGAATTTGATGGATTTTACTTTATCTTTTATAACAAAAAGCACTTAAATGGAATGAAGTCAATGCGAGCTTGATGACCTTAACTGGACAAGAGTAGAAAATCTCAGACTATGACAGTCAGACATGGCTAACTGTAGATCTAATTTTTGTACTGATTGGCTTGCATTGACAAGAGGGCCCTGCGACTTTATAGGTTTGAATACACCTCCTTAAGTCATAAACGTTACCACTAAGCTGACTTGTTTATAATAGTCAATTTTACCTCTAGCTCTATAGTTTTAGTCAAAGTACATTGAGATTCCGAATCATACTGAAATGCGACTTTATTTCAAATGAATTTAATAGGAAACAGCCGAATCTGAGGTCTGGAAAACATAACCCTATTAGCTACTCAGTAACAGCCCGACCGAAGCTGCTACCTTGACGCGGTGGTCGGGCTTGCCTATCGTGATGACCCAACCGAGCTATATTGGCTGGAACATATGTTCCTGTAGGTTCTACCATGCCAGGCAGGTCGATTGGAGAACGGTAAGACTAAAAGCAGCAACTCAAGGTCTGAGGGCGAAGTCGTACTGCTGACTGTAGAGGGTGTGACAGCAGTAAGGTGTTTCCCTCGGACAACCAGCATGACAGCGATGCTGCCTTCCCACAAGGAGGGGGGGGTTAGAAAAGGTCGACCCTAAAAATGTCACACCTCACCTTACCTCACGGATTTCCGTCTCCGGCGGTAAGGCCCTTTGAAGAACGGAGCTAACACGTCAAAAACCTTCCACAAAAAGGCCGTGCGCGACCGGCCTCAAGCAGTTGTCCCTTGGGCTCTGCGGTCACGCTCCCAGGTCGTCAAGACCAACACTAATCCAATTTCCTTTTCAGGTTCCTCAAGAAATACCCTTCCACGGTGTGGGCAGCCGGGAAGTGACATCAGCCCTCATACCCGTAACAGCACACGAGACCAAGTGGTCACATTCAAATCCTTCCTACACCTCCTAATACCTCTCTTATCTCCATGACTAACCCTCCTCACGTCTCTTTATCACCTCGCACCGCTAGGGCAAACGATTCGAGTACGTGGAACGCCATTCCTGGTCTCCTGAAACCACGCTCTAAACTACACGTAGGAGCTTTTAACGTACGAACACTTTGCCAAATAGGACAGCAGGCTTCCTTAGCTAAACTTTAGAATCTCGCGCCATCGATGTGTGCTGCGTCTCCGAAACGCGCATACAGGATCCGAGTAGCGTCATTCATTTGACCTCACCATGCCAAAATAAAGAACCGACTCGATTTACGCTTCGTGTATCTGGAAGCCCTGATTCTGCTTCCCGTGGCCTCGCCGGCGTAGGTATAGCATTGAGTCCTAGGGCAGAACTAGCTCTCTTAGAGTGGATCCCAGTAGACAGTCGTTTGTGCGCTGTCCGACTGAACGGAACAGTAAGAATCCGGAAAGATAGGGACACTCGTCGTTGCCTCTTCGTCGTCTCTGCCTATTCTCCCACTGACTGCAGCTCAGATGATGTAAAAGATGAGTTTTACAGAAAGCTTTCGACCTTCTCCGAAAAGCTAGGCGCTCGGATGTAGTAATAGTGGCCGGTGACTTTAATGCTCAAGTAGGTAAACTAAGCGATAGGGAAAGACACCTAGGTGGATCTTATGGTGTCGTGGCTCAAAGAACAGATAATGGCGACCGTCTGTTGCAGCTATGCTCAGATAACCGCCTGTTCCTTGCAAATACTAACTTTAAGCATAAGGAAAAACATCTTTTAACATGGCGACCCCCTAATTCGTCCCAACGTTGGACCCAAATAGATCACATCGCTATCAGCCACCGATGGAGGGGCTCGATAGAAGACTGTCGCTCATTCTGGAGCACATGCTTAGATTCAGATCATGCTCTAGTGCGAGCGCGTATTTGCTTGCGTCTTACTGGACGTAGGAAAGACGCTGCAAGGAAACCTCTTAGGGCCTACTTAATGATAGTCAAGCTAAGAGTATATTTCAGGAACAACTAGGAAAACAGTTAGGCAGCCATGTATGTGATGCCCACCCCGATGCAGCATGGAATGATATCCGAAAAGCTGTGGAAACAGCAGTGATATCTGCTAGTAAGGTAAACCGGAAGGTTAGGGAGCAACACTGGATCTCAGCAGCATCTATCTCACTGATAGATGCTCGGAAACTCATTCCACCTGGCTCTGAACATAATGAAGAGCGGAGTCAGCTTAAGCGCAAGCTGACAAGAAGTCTACGCAATGATCGCGAACAGTGGTGGGTAGCGAAAGCAAGAGAGATGGAAAAGGCAGCGGCAATAGGTAATAGCAGACAATTGTTCAGACTCGTTAAGGAAACCGGAATTAGGAACCGACCGTTAGCGAAACAATCTCAGAGAAAGATGGACATATTATTCATTCTCAATCCAGGAGATTGGATCGATGGGCAGAACACTTTAGGGATCAGTTCAACTGGCCTTCAGCCACACTTCGGTTTCCCACGATCTCCAGTCAACCTGAATGGCAAGTTAATGTAGGTCCTCCGTCTTTACGAAGTTGAAAAAGCCATAGGAAATCTGAAACGAGGGAGAGCAGCAGGCCCTGACAGGTTTACTCCTGAGATTTTTAAGGATGGTGGTCCAGTATTAGCAGGAGATTAACTGAGGTCTTAGGTAGAATTTGGGAACTGGACGTAATCCCATCTGACTGGTCTCAATCACTGATTGTGCCAGTCTATAAGAAAGGACAAAAGTCCTCTTGTGACAATCACAGAGGA